GCCTTCGCCCATCGCAAGGTCGCGGCCTACCGCTAGTCTAGACCTTAGCCGCGCCATTGGCCGCTGTAACAAAGCATGCACCGAGGCCCTCGTTACTCCGGAATTGACGCCCTGGCAGCCGGGCTACGGTCTTCCGAGAGTCAGAACTCTTTCCATCTATTCTCCTATCCTTCTGCAGAATACAATATTCCTAAAAATCTGGCTTTCCCACCGTCTTCTCACCTCTCCTAAAGGAACCACTGGCCTGGAAGATCGTAGCTGTAAGGGTTAATCTTCTTAGCCTTAACACTTGTCGATAGTCTCACTCCATGGGGTACGAGCCGCTGCTTAGGGGCGTCCTCGGCCACGCCGGACACCTGCGTCCGATCCGGCCTCCGATCTTTTTGACTCTATCTTAACACCGGACACCGATCGGTGGGAGAAGAGAGAGTGTAGTAGATGCTGTACAAGTCTACTATCACTTAAAACTAATTCACGCTTAAGTTACTGTCCCTGCTCTACCCTGTTGTGGAGCCTAAGGTGGACATAGTCGAAATCAACGGTCGAAACGTCGTAAGCACGTTCGATCCTCGGGTGGTGCATCACTTGCTCTTGGGCATGACTGGCTGATGACGACAGCCAATTAGCGGAAAGTGGCCATTCCAGTCTCCCTTGTCAGTAATTTTCGTCTGAATAAGAAATGCTCGGTGAAAGTTATCAGTCAGTCTCCAGGAAACCTTGTCATTGGCAGAAAAAACAGTGTCCTTCCAATCGGGACTACATACAGTGCGGCCCTAACTCATGCAAAATGCCAAAACACTCTCTAACTGAAATTAACCCATGTACTAAAACTTTGAAATAATAAGGAACAATCTTAAGCGAATTCAGAACCTAAAAATATTAAAATTTGTAACTGTTTGTTTAGAAATATCCTTGTAGGATGAGCAAAGCTCGGTGAATATTAAACTATGGAAAAAAACTGAGTATTTTTTGACAAAAGGAGCATACATTGAGCTAGCACAAACTTAAGCAGCACTACTGTGGCCGAAACTGAGTCGCTTGACTATCAAAATCCCCTCAGGAAAGCCCCATACCTTGAAGCTCCAATAACTTACCGATGATTTTCACATTGTCATCTTCCGATAGAAGAAGATTTTCGACCTTGAGGTCTCTAAAATGGGGTAAGGAAACATATGAAAGAGTAGGTTAACGGTTATAAAATATCACTAGTCTAACCATTTAATTTGTGAAAATTTGGAAAACTGTGCTTTCTTTCGGGAAAACTCGCGTTTGACCTCGTCTCCAGCGTTATTATTTGGAGTCATCTAGCCCCTTGTAAGTAGCAATTAGTATAGCTATTCAGAGTGAATAAAACGAAATCATAGCAGACGAATTTTTGCGCTGGTTTGACGCGAACCTCCCTAGCTCCTAAATTCGCATCGGATGCCTCACCGCTTGAGTTATCGGGGCACTAGCGCGGCGCATTTACGTATATTCTCAAAATGAAATACTTTTATTGCATAAATTGGGCTGGATGTGGGAATTTCCAGCATACATCAAGCGATGCCGCATGATTCATGTCCACTTGCAGTGAAAGTGACACCTCTACTAGTTCTAATCCCTATGAAAGAAAGACGACTTGTTTATGGTCTATCAGATTCATCCTGTCTCTGCGGTCTTAGGTGTCAATTGGTGAGATCGTAAATTTGGCATATCTAATGAAGTACTTGATAAGGGGGCGGATGGGGCATCGGAACCACTCGTTCATTTGTTCCGTTGTCAGTAATGAAACTAGTGTGAATGGAAAAATACAGGCCGAATTATCAGTTCAGGATACCATTTTCAGAAGGACACCTTATTACTAACTTGTTTTTTGTCTTTATGGGTATATGTATATAGGCGGGGTGACATTGCCCGTAAGGACAAGGGGACCGGATTGGCTATTTCTGGCTTATCGCCTCTCACCAGCCAGCCGTACTCAACTCTAGTTGGTGCACTACCTGACGCTCGAAACCGCGACCTGTTGCGTAAAATTCCAAAGCTCCAACTATTGGGTGAAGTAAACTGGCAAGACAACGAGCCTGTGGCTTAGTAGTTAGGACGTTGGACATTTACTCAACAGGTCGCGGGTTCGAAACTCGGGTGCCACAACGCTTGGGGTCGGGTATGACTGGCTGATGAATGAGTCGCAAATGACTATCCCAGGGTCCCTTATATCTGTTGGTAATGTTGTTCTGTGTATAGCCTTAGCCGCTGTGCGCTGCGAACGGACCTCCAGAGTAAGCACCAAGACACAACGGAATGAGTGAGTCCCGTAATCGGTTGGGGAGCGCCTACCTACCACTATTACATGAAATTCCTTTTATTTCTATCTGTTTAGTTAGGTACTCATTAACCTGTGTAGTATGTCTTTTTCATGTAGATACCGCACAGCGGTCACAATCTGGTTCAGATACCGACGGGCTGTGGGTTCTTCGATTGGTCCGCTCCTCTCTATTCTTTGCAGCAGGCTCTCTCCAGTGCACAGTTCCATGACCAGATAGTAAGTGCGCCTGGTCTCCAGGACCTCGTACAGTTGGATGAGATGGGAATGTCGTAGCTTCTGCAGCAGAGAACCCTCTCTTCGCAGGTTCTTCCGTGTGTACTCATCCTCCAGGCAGCGTTGTTTGCTAACAGCCTTCACCGCAACCTTCAAAGCAAAAAATTTTCTGCTCTATTCAGTCTTACTGTTTGTAAAGCGCTTTAAAGTGTGTTTTTAAAGGTAATTGTATCGAAACTATTGACAAGTGGATAGATAGTGACAACTCCCTTAATAAAGGTAAAATACGATTGTGGTAGAATTAAAGGATTAATTACGAGGATTAATCATTGCAACTCAGGTCCTACGAGGTCACTATTGGATATTGATGCCCAAATAGACTGAATCGCGTTTTAGGGGACGATGCACAACAACCCTTCAAATGCTCAGTACAGCTAATTGAACTGTTTTACTTACTGGGATAACGATCTTCGGCTTTTAGTTGTTTGCACGCATCGATATTTGTATGATGGATATTATTGCCGGCAAAAATCAGGGAGACTGGAATAGCCACTTCTGGCTTAATAGCTGTCGTCAGCCAATCATACCCAGCCACAGGTTATGCATCACCCGTGGCTCGAACTCGCGACACTTTTTGATAGGAGGGCCCAACACTCGCGCCGTCCTCGAAGCAGGATAACAAAGAGAGAGCACGCAAGACCGCCGCCGTCCAGGTTCTGAGGCCACGCATGAAAAGGGCCACGAAAAGACGCATGCACGTGCGCGCGACCGGTCACCTGAGGACACGATGGCTGAGACATGACGGCTGCCTGTAGAGGCCACTCGTGGAGAGCCAACTGGGAACAATTACTACTGGTCCTTAAATATGCTGCCACCGCTGAGGGTGGCACTCTGTTTCCGAGACGCGCTACCGACGACCCGACATTCTGCTGCTGGGGGCACAGGACAAGCTGCCGAGACGAGACCGAAGACATAAGACGCGTTGCTGACGGGCCCATAGAAGACAACGCTGATGTACAAGCAGAACTTGTACGAGTAAAGTAATATCTGCTATCCTGTTCTGCCTTCTCTTCCTAACACGCAACTGGGGGACATAACCTGTGTTGACACAGGAGCATATTAGTTTATGACAGTGGCGACGCAGGTAATCACTGCAGACGCAAGGTTATAACACTTTAGATCAGAGTCTAATGCTCAAACCTTTGAGCTACGAGCTCGTTGTCTTACTGGTT